ATCCACTCCCAAGCCCAAACTGACTCCCCTTCTACTATCTCTCATATTTACCAAGTGACACCAACATACTCCCCCTTTACAAATGAACGCTCCAACAACAATTCCCCAGATACCACGCAAATCTCATATGAACTAAACAATCTAATAACACTACAATAAAAAGTACAACACCCTCACACCCTAACCATTCATCAATTATCGTCAACCATAACATCATCAAACCCACCAAATCCTACACCTTCTTCAGATTATACCCCTTTTTTAGCCCAATCCTCAATATCAACCCAATCATCATCCACTACTAACAGTGCCAATAGAACATTCAAAAGAAAATTTCATAATCACCCGTTTCCCTCTAAATCCGGAATAGCCCGCGATTATGTAAGCCACCCTGACCATTCTAACACTCCCGAATTTCTCCAAATTTCCTTACCCCTCTTCCCTCAATATACATATAATCACTCCGACCCTCACATTGAATAACCCCACTATGTCGATGAGCATGTATTAATCCCCACACTCCATTGGACATCAATTTATCATTTCTCAAACCCACTTTGTATACCACTCATTAACAAACCTCACGAAATCAAAAAAAAATTAAAAATGATCTTTTTAGACTAACTACAGCACTAACATCTAGACAATTTACGCACGTAAGATACAAAAAGCTATTAAAAGTATTCTCCGCACAACGAGCTAACGAGTATCCAATCGATCACTATGACCATAATATCATCCGACCCAACCAAGATCAATTCCTCGACGACAATAAGTTTGCTAACCCGCAACTAACCGAAAAATTTTTCATTCGAACACCTTACATTTTTACACTAAACTCGAAAGATAAAAAACACGATCACATCATCTCCGATGCACTAATCGACATTCAAGCTTATGAATCAATTTACAAAAAATTTGAAACTTTTTCACAAACCTTCCACTTCCTCATTCCGAGAGGAGATTTGCACTTCTTACATGGCATCATGTTAAGAAATAAACAGACAAGAACTACTTACACTTACTATAAATTCATACAAAATCACTTTGACTTACATACACCATCACGACAACCCCATCATCGCTATCAATTTATTAACTCTAAATACACATCAACATTTTTTTCTTAATTTCACATATTGCATTAAAAACACTAACTTTCAAGGCATCCTCCGTAACTATGGCCCCATAACCCACATGTATATATTTTGTCCACTAACCAAGACCTTCAATGTAGAAAAATCCAGACCACTCATTGTCCCGCATGAATACGTTCAACCTGTAGAAATCCAAATATTAGAATTTATCCACAATACTAAATATAATCACAAGCTTTTTAACCTTATCCAACACACGCATCATGAATTTTCCATTGGCACTGAAGAACTAAAAACCATTAAGGGACTTCAATTGCTTTGGCCACTGCTTCATACTAAAAGCATCATTCGCATTTTGCAAGGCTACTAACCACATCAGATGCTATACAAGATATCTTCCCTCATGGCTTCTTTCCTGATGACTAGGTAAGTATGAATTAAAAAAATTTATAACTAATAAATTCGAATTAAACTAACCATTTTTTATTAAATGTTTTTTCTTTAGCCTTTAGATCACAATCATCTACAAACAAGAAAACAAAATAAAAAAACAAACTCTTTCATAATTTATAAACTTCTATTAACAAACCGCAATGAAGGATGCAGTAAAATTTCTTCTCCACAGTAGTAAATTAATCTATAAATTCTTTTCCCAATATAAAATGAAAATAAATTATTAATAATTTCCATCCCCACAAAGCAGTAAATTTAACTTTTCAGTTAAAAATGCAAGCAGTACTAACCTTTCAAAGACAAAATTCACTCGCACACAAATTCTATCCACACTCGCACAGCTAGCTCACGACGAATTGTTTAAAATAATGAATTCAACTTTTAACTTTCACTAATAACAATTGAAACTAATAATAACAAGTTTCCAACTTTCTTTTAAACCGGTTGGAAAGGAATCATATAATAATCCCAACTAACCAACGCAGCTTACTAAACACCATAAACCACAAACTAACAGCATGACTAAGAAAAGAAAACCCACGGTACCCAAACCGGATTAAACCAGCTTAAAGAACCCGGTAATTTATTCTTTTGAAGACTATTGATAAGTCTAAAAAAGAAAGAATAAAACACTAAAAAATCGAAAGACAAACCCAAACCAAACAATTTGATTTTTGAGAAAAGGACACAACCACAAAAACAAAAGGAAAAAACCAGTAACAAACACAACATAAAAGGTTAACACAAAACAGGACCCCATAAAAAACCAGCATGAAATCATACCCTCACTCCTGGCCTAACCCACCAGAAGAGGACGTCCTGAGCTTGCTTAATAACCGGCCTAACCCACCGTGCTAGAACCCACGCTTTGTGACACACTCCCTATTTTTGATAAGAGCTACTCAAGTGTGAGTAACTCTTTAAAAATAACCGAACTAAAATAAAAGCTTTTGCGATAAAAACTAATAAAAAATCTTAACTAAAAGAAGAACTAACTAAACATTTACTTATGTAAATTATATAATGCAGTAATATGTATTATACACAATCACGAAGACGAGCATCAAGAAACAAAGACGACCCCATCACACTCAATCCAAAGAATGGCTAAACACAACCGATATACCGCTCACAACCACAACTCAAAGGATTTGAAATGTGACTTGACACCAAAGCAAAGGACTTCATTGAATCAAACCAATGACCACCTCTATGTTCAAGTATACGTACAGATCCGAGTTACAGGGCATTCCCTCCAAACTCGAGCTTCACGCCATGCTCAATCCAGATCGAAACACAGTTCTCCACTCCAAACAAGAATAAACAATCATAACAAACCATTTGGAAATCAGATTGATTTTGTTGGTGGTCACAGTCATTGTCGAACGACAGTATGACGCCTACGATTCTAGCTTCCTGGAGCTTTCTCCTCCAAGAATGGAATAGAATTGATGCTCGCGAAATACAAAAGATCATCATCCATACTCCATTACAGATAGAAGTCGAAAGAACAAAAACTCTGTAAAACCCGGATGGGTGGAACCAGATCCAAATTATATATTATTATTGGTTATATTTTAGATATTTTATCCCTATAAAATATTAAATACTAACCGATCACACTCAATCAAACTAACAACCCACTTATTTCTAAGTGCTGAAATTACTTGTAATTTCAGCACCAGAGCATTTTAAACAAGCCGTGAGTATAACAGGAAATGATATTTAGAGAGAAATCATAAAGATTATAATCCATTAGAATCAAAAAATTAAATTTTAAACGACAAGATAATTGATTTCATTGTCTAAATGTGCAACAATCGTAGATTATAATGACAAAATTTCAACAAAACTTTTTCATTACAATCGGCTTATTCCGGAAACTCCGGTGCGGAAAAGTTCGAAAAAGAGAAAAAAAAGCCTTGCTTAAGACTATAACTAAAAATGATCACAAAACATTTTTAGTTATAGTCAGGACTAAAATACTAAAAATGTTTCGTGATCATTTTTAAACTAACCATAGTTTTCTTAAAAAACTATGGTTAGACTTACTTTGACTTACATTTTAAGTCTACGACAGAAGTCTACCGCTCACAGACTTCTGTAAATGCAAGCAGAAGTCTGTGAGCGGTTACAGAAGTCTTGTAATTTCTTAACTTTTCCTAATTCTTAACTTTATTAGGAAAATAAGAATTGCGTTTTTAATACGCAATTCTTCTTTATAATCAATGAGTATTGATTATAAAGAAGAAATTTATGCCGTGTACTTTATAGTTAAACCTAGCAAAACCGCTAAATCTTCAAATGCGTTCCACCGACCTCGTCTCCCTGTTTGGTGAAGTATACTAGATCAACTACTTTACTCCCCTCCCCTCAGTTTTTTACCACTGAATGGGGAGAGGAGACGTCAACGTGAGCTTCACCTCTTTTACCAACCCCCTTCAGTTTAACCGCCCATTTTTAAACTCCACACCCCCAGTTAAATTTTTTGGCGAGGGGGCGGTGGTAAGAAAAATGAGTACTAACTTCACTAAACAGGAAATTGGATAGATGTAGAAAGTTTTGTAAAGATCATCAAAAACCTCTAAATTTTTTTTTATCATTGATTATAAAATGCACAGGTTTTTTCTCTTTTTCATTACAATCGGCTTATTCCGGAAACTCCGGTGCGGAAAAGTTCGAAAAAGAGAAAAAAAAGCCTTGCTTAAGACTATAACTAAAAATGATCAAAATATAACTCAAAACTTTGTTTGGAGAAATATACATTATCTTAAACCTAATCTCATGGTAAAAATTTTGTTTTACAACCTGCACCGAGCGCCTATAGACTTTAATTGATCATACGCAATTACTAAAAAATAATAATCCTTTATAAGTCGTTACAGACAGAAATCCAATCAACGAAATTGATTATTTTGTCATTATAATCGATTGTTTTTATTAAAATTGTCATCAAAATTGATTATAATCCACTTTTTTGGCATGGAAGTTGATTATTTTTGTCAGGCTAATCTTTATATATTTGACTAATTTTGGAATGAAAATCCATTATGATTGATTGTACTCCATTTTTTGGAATTATTTGGAACCAGATCCAAATAATAAATTATTATTGGTTATAATTTAGATATTTTATCCCTATAAAATATTAAATACTAACCAATCACACTCCATCAAACTAACAACCCACTTTTTTGTAAGTGCTGAATTTACTTGTAATTTTAGCACCAGAGATTTTTGAATTTAATTTACAACTTAGTCGTTTTCTCCAAGAGACCGACTCGTAACAAACCAGAATACTCTAGATCTATTGAGACTAAGAGATATAAGAGTAAGATTAAGATCGGTATTAGACTAAGAAGTTGCACGAATCTATCAGGCCGAAAATAAGATAGCGTGACGAGCAGACGGTGTACCTTATCTGAAATTACTCTATGAGTTGACCTCCATTCCAACTCATATTTGATAAAATTCGCACAGGTTATACAAAATTTGCAAGAAACTTTGTGCCGTGTACTTTATAGTTAAAACTAGCAAAACTTCAAATGCGTTCCACCGACCTCTTCTCCCTGTTTGGTGAAGTATACTAGATCAACTACTTTACTCCCCTCCCCTCAGTTTTTTACCACTGAATGGGGAGAGGAGACGTCAACGTGAGCTTCACCTCTTTTACCAACCACCTTCAGTTTAACCGCCCATTTTTAAACCCCACACCCCCAGTTAAACTTTTTGGCGAGGGGGTGGTGGTAAGAAAAATGAGTACTAACTGCACTAAACAGGAAATTGGATAGATGTAGAAAGTTTTGTAAAGTTCATCAAAAACCTCTAAAAATTTTTTATCATTGATTATAATTGATTATAATGGATTTTATTCACGTGAAACGAATTACATTTATAGTAGTTTTTCAAAGGATTATTTTCGTTTAATTTTTAATTCATAGAAACTGACTAATAAATGTCAATCTAATCAACTATGATCCATTGTTTTTTAGGTTTTTAATTACTCATTTTGATAAGTACCTGAAATATTTCTTCTGACAGTTTTTTTTTTAATGTGTATCTTCTCAATTAACAGATTTTTTCTATGTTTCTTTTGTAGAGTTTTCCTGCTATCATCATTTTGCTCATATGTTTGCTTTTCAAGCCAAATAAGTTATTTTGATGAGTCTTATCCGCTTTCTCACTAGGTATGAAATTTAAGAATATATTGCCCTTTAGGATGATTAGGAACTGGTCGCAAGTTGCAAAAAAATGCCATCGATTACTAATATTATCAATTTTGGTAAGAAACCATTGGGAATAGTTTTTTTGAAACAAAATTTTTAGAATTACGTCTTCCTGAGTTTTTTCCATATCGTTTTCTTGAGCTCTATCTTTTAGACTTGATTAAATGATAGTTTACTTGCAGTTTTTCAAAGAGACAACTGTTGTTTTTTCCCATTAATTTTGATGCTATTTTGAATTTAATTTCAATCTTTTGAAACAAAGGTAGGTCAAAATTTTTTTTTTATAATCTGCTTCTTTGGCAATTTTGAAAATCTCTGAATTAGAATAAGCACATTTGACTGAGTTGGATCCATTTTTTGCATTCCATTTGTTTGACACGATTGAAGAGATTTTGCCAACTCACAAACACTTGTCTACTAACATTTGACCACTACTTTTGAGCGACCGGCCTTATTTTTCTTTCGCTAAAGACGCCAAAACATATTAAGTCTGTGGCGAATCTTCTATTACCTTTTTTAAATCTGAGCATTTGAATTATTTTACCAGCAACCAATATAAGCAAAAGCTAAATTATGAGAAGGGAATGCCTAAATTTTTCTATTACAATTGAAAAATTTAATAGAAAAATTGTCAAAAGTTTATAATTGCAACAAGACTGCTCGTATCAGGGCAAAGCCCTGAATGTTCCGACTGCCTTTTAAGGTATATGGAGCAGTAAAAACATTAAAAACTTCAATAAAATTAAACAGAAGAATTTTTTTTTTCTAAAATGTGAAATTTTTTTAATGAAAATTATCACCCCACACGCCATATAAAGAACAAAAGGATAGATTTCGCTCCTTGTAACAAATAAATTATGGCAAATAAGCTTCTTTCAACCAATTTGGAACGATTTCTAAGACTGATTAAATCTCCGCTTACGCGTTAATAGCACGAAATATATCGCGCGTTAATTGTCCCAAAATGGCCAAAAAGGCAGTCTCTAAACCCCAATAACTTTACAAAAAAAGATCACAGGTGAAATATCTTTTCAAATTTGAACTCAAGACAACAATACCTTTCGAATGATATAAAAAATTCCGTCAAAAATTACTAGTTAAAAAGTCGAAATTTGTCTGAAGAAAAAAAAACCCAACCCGAGCACAAATATTCCGTTACTTTCGTATCGAAAGTCGGAACAATAAAACTGCTCGAATCAGGGCGAAGCCTTGAATGTTCCAACTGCCTATTAAGGTTTATGGAGAAGTAAAAACATTAAAATAATTACATGAAAAAAAAAACAAAATGAAAAAAAAAATCTAAAATTTGAAGTTTTTGAATGAAAATCATCCCTCCACACGCCATATAAAGTACAGAAGGATAGATTTCGCTACTTGTAACAAGTTAAAGATGTCAAATAAGCTTCGTTAAACCAATTTGGAACAATTTCTAAGACTGACTAACTCTCCGCTTAAGCGTTAAATAGCGCGAAATATATCGCGCGTTAATTGTCCCAAATTGGCCAAAATGGCAATCTTTAAACCCCCGTAACTTCACAAAAAATGATCAGAGGTGAAATATCTTTTCAAATATGAGCTCAGGGTAACAATACCTTTCGAATTATATTTTAAAAAAAATCCGTCAAAAATGGCTGGTTAAAAAGTCGAAATTTGTCTGAAGGAAAAAAAACCCCGCCCCGAGCACAAATATTCCGTTACTTTCGTATCGAAAGAAAGTCGGAACAATAAGGCATTTGAGATCCAAATTGTTCAGTGAAAAATTAGGCAAAAACAGCTTTTTGCCAATCTCGATACATGTTTCTCAACATCAATACATTGCTAAAAGAGCAATACACTTAGACGCTAAAACGATCAAAACAATTAGACGCTAAACGAGCAACGCACTTGGACGCTAAGCACTTTAAAACAGTTTTTTGGCTGTTTTAATTTGCTTAAAGAGGCTAACATATCTTCACCAGAGGAAATTTTTTGCGGTTTAATTAACCGAACAAAACTACTCGTATCGGGGAAAAGCTCTGAATGTTCCGACTGTCCATAAACTGTTCTCGAAAAGTGTTTGGTAAATGACTCAACGAGAAATTCACAAAATTAAAATCATGTATGGAATTAATGAGACCAATAAGTCTGCTTCAATTGACGTTGGAACAGTTTTGTAGTGCGGGGTAATTTGTCACGAGCAAATATTTATCGTACTTGTATGCGCATTTAATTTTCCGCATAGAAGTAGCACATCGCTCTACCAAAGTTAAGACAGGTTAGTCTAGTGATTAGCGAGCACCTTCTAGGGTCACAAAGATCCGTGGTTCAACCTCCCGAGAGAAAATTTTTCGAGAACTGTTCTGAATAAAAAACACTAACACAAATTCTTAGCTTCTTCAAAAATCGGAACAAAAATTTGTATTTTGAATCTTTTCTAATTTCCTTCCTTATTTTTCGGATTCTTTGAATCAATAATTGAATCTTAAAAATTATCTTATCAAATGGTTAGATACTTCAGATTATTTGATACTTCTCACAGGGAACGGAATTGATATTTTTTGAAGAGCTTCAAACATCTGCCTTGACAAATTAACTCTAGGTCACGTCAAAATTTAAGCTTTTGTTCATTCAGCGTTTTTTCTTTTAAACCAACACAATAGGCAAATTAAAGCAAGTTTTTTTGCTTATAACAACAATGATCTATAACAACACTGATCTTGTATTTTGATCTATAACAGTTAAATTTGATACCAATTAGAGTTCCTAAAACTTTAGTTCACGTGAGTGTGATATTTCATTTTTATTTTCTTTTTTTTTGTTTTCGTTTTTCTGCCACAAACTGTTGAGATTTAACCAAATGTTATTTGATATTTGTGTCAGCTTGAAATCTTCACCTTAATAAGCAGTTAATTTTCAATTAGAAAGTTAATTCAACAAAGGTGCTGTACGAAACTTTATCGAATGCGTTTTCGGAGTGTTTTTATAAATCAGATTTTTTATTTGACTTATCAGATTTTATATAACTCATTCGAACCGCCCCCCTCCAAATCTGCCCTTAGTTAAATGTTTTTTTTTGTGATTCAGTTTTTCATGTTTCATTTGGTGTAAGTTAATTGACTAAAGCGAAAGAAGTGACTTCAACTCTACTTTTTTCCATGTAAAGTGTCGTTAGTGTTGGATCTCTTCTGATTAAAGTGATGCAAAAACTATCTCCTAATTGCCGGTTGTTAAGAAAATTTTGCACCGATAAGGACTGGGCGTGTTCCTTAAAGGTTTGTTTCACGGGACTAGCGAGCTTGCTTATCGCATAAGACCGATTGGATTAAACGCCTTATATTTTTATACTCTCCGAATTAATCAAAATGAACGTTTCAATTTAACTTAGATTTAACTTAGTTTTTAATTTTGTTTTAACTTAATTTATAAATCACTATGTGCACTTAGAAAGCATCAAAAAATAGTATATGATTGGTTGTCGAAAGCTTCAGTCCGGCATGTTGAATTCTACCCAAATTTTCTTGAGAAATATTTCTTGAAAAATTTTGTGAGAAATATTTATTTTTTAGAAAATAAGCTGTTGAAAACAAGTCTTCCTCAATTTTTTTTCCATATCGTTTTCCTGAACTCTACCTTCTGGGCTTAATTAAATGTTAAACTATTCACAATTTCCAATTGAGACATTTATTGTTTTTTCCCATTAATTTTGATAGTATTTTGAGTTTAATGTCACTCTTTTATTTGAAATAAAGGTGGTGATTAAAATTTTTATTATCCTCTTCCACTTCAGCGCGTTATGAAATTCTCTGTATCTTTTTAGATCAAAATAACCACATTTGACTGAGTTCGAAATAGTTTTGTTTTCCATTTGATTGCCGCGGTGATAACGGGTTTAGCGCAGCGAACATGTTAACGCAGTTTAGAAGAATCATTTCAAAATACACCGGGCGTGGAATTACACACCGGCCCTAATTTTTTGCTTAATGCGCCTAAACAATAATTTTGAGGAGAATTTTTAATTACTTTTTGTTTTTAAAATATTGGTGAGCATTTGAATTAATTTGTCAGCGATATACATAAAGTCTAAATTATAAGAGAATGCTAAATTTTTTTAGCAATTTGAACTGTTAAAAACAGTTCGTAGAGGTCCCGATTTTCTTTTAAGTAGGTAATAAAAAACTGCTTATAAAAACTCATTGAAAAAAATTTACTTAACAGTTGTCAAAAATTTAACTGCAATAAGGAATTTGAGGTCCAAATTTTTCAGTAAAAATTTGAGGCAAAAAACTTTTTTCCAAATCTCAGTACCTGTTTTAGTTAATTGCCATCCTAATTTTTGCTAAGCCATTGCTATTATGCCATTATGTTCTTTGGAATTTTTTTTCAATTCGAAGCAAATTTAGTTCATATTTGAAGAAGAGGTTTATTTTTTCAGTTTTATAAGTACAAAA